TATTTGGTACAACTAAAGCAAAAAAAAATCACATGTACAACTGGAGCTTCCCAGATATTTACTCATTTTGCTTCGCATTACCTAAAATTACACTGTCTATAACTTTGTATTTCGTAAAGTGGCATATTTTCTTTTGAAGATCATCTTGAAAAAACATGTTATATATATTTTTAGGATAAAGAAAGAAAAATCAAATATATAAGTTATTGTCTTTTGAAAAAAACAGTATAGGAAGTTTGGGGAAAGGAGGAGCAATTGATACAGTACAAAACGTGAATGTAAGACATTGCACCTTCAAAGGAACTCAGAATGGTGCAAGAATCAAAACTTGGGGTGTAAGTTCTAATTTGATTTTTATTTTGAGACATTAACACAATTTATACTAATAGAGAAAAACAAAACATAATAGTATTGGATGTTACCTAATTTTTTTATAGGGAGGACGAGGGTTTGCCAGAAATATTTTATTTGAGGATATTACGCTGATAAATGCTCAGCTACCCATCAATATCGATCAACAATACACCGGTAGATGCTGTGGAATGTTTAACGCCGTGAAAGTGAGCGACGTGACATTTAGACAATTCAGAGGGACAGTTGCAGATGGTGTTGCAATACACATAGATTGTGACAGAGTAGGTTGTGATAACATTTTGCTGGAGCACATCAATATCGCTTCTTCATCTCCGAGAATACCTCTCACCGCCTTTTGCCGATTTGCGAGAGTGATCAGTCGCTTTGTCTCCATTCCTGTCAAGTGTAGTTCTCGTAATGATCTTGAATGTCCATCACCATGTCCCCAAGCTCATGCACCGTATGCCAAACCGCCAGCACCGCTTGCTCAACCTCCATCGTTCTTTCCTTTTCCATACATATTTTAAGATATTCTTGTTCAATTTGGATTATATTTACTGTAATTTCAATATCAATGTTGTGAACGAGTTATGTCACTACTATTTTACCAATAAAGTTTGCTGATTTGAAGCTTTGATTCATTGCAATAATCATCTTATCGTATGTGTGCTATGTGAGCTTGAGTACAATGTTGTTAACTAGATCATAAATATATTATTTAGGGTGAAAATTTGTGATTCGTAAGGAATTCATGACAAAGAAACATAATAATCTACTACAGAATACAGATCCGCGTCGCTCTTTGCTTATTTTTTTCAACGAAGATTAGTGTAAACATTTAAAAAAAAAAGAACTAATAAATGATATGCACTCCAATTAAAAA